GGCCACCCAGTAGCTCAATCACCCTTGAGTGGCCTTGCCTTGATGTGCAGCGCTTTTGCCTCTGATACACATAATACTGTTGACTAGAAAGGAATGACGGTAATACCACAGGACTATTCAAACCCAACAAATACATAAGTAATTGAAAAATTATTATGTTGAGTCAAAATTTCCCAGTGTGACCTCGATTTCGGAAATTTCACAACTTTTTTTAGAATAATCTTGAAGGCGTGCCCCAGATCCAAATTGGTGTGGCTCAATGTGAATGCATTGGTGCGAAATGGGCCGGCAGTAAAGAAAAAAGGAAAAGAATCCGTCAAAAACGCTCAGGTTGAAGGGCTCACTCACCTTCCTAATCGGCTGTGCTAAGGGAATGAGAGACTAAGCGCGGAGAGGAGAGTATGAGGCGAGAGAGCGCTACAGATGAGAGAGCGCCAGACAACAGCCTGATAAGAGAAAAAAGTCTGCAGCTTCAGCAGCTTACTTTGCAAGGCCCAAGCGCTCTTGTCGGTTGGTTTCCGTGCACGGGAACGCCACATTTGTGATTGTCCTCTAGGGTCTATACTACAGACCGAAGGGAAGCGTTCACACGATCTCTGCCTGGGTGCGTCTATAATCAGTTTCGATATTTACCACAAATTTCTGGAACTGTTTTCCTTCTATAGGCGAGTGCAAGATACGTCTTTCAGGACCAGTCTTCAACGCAAAGAAATAAGTGGACGTCCGTCTCGAGGTGTTCGCGATCATTGTGTTTTCTCCTTCATACGATGAGCATGCAGGCGGAGCAATTGGTGATTGTACCGTCAGTGGATCACGAGGAGTAGGGGAGGACATGGAGCCGAGTTTCCCTATAGTTTTCTGAGTTCTGACTCGTGATCGTAACTCGTGACATGTGGGTTGCGAGTTGCCGCGCAATTGAACAATCCCATGTTTCGGAAGTCGTGGCTTTGTGCTATCCGAAACAAGTCAAGTCAGCGCAGCGTACTTTAAGAAATGGTGGAATGTAAAGGGGATTCAGCACTAGTTTTAAAACGGTCTCAGGCTTTAACGAGGGCATAAGTTTAAAGTAAGACGATCAACCATTACCATCACACGAGAAGAGGATTTTGTAGATACTGAACACGCCATACCCAGACTTGAACAACAACACATCAGTCGGCTATGATGCCCGCTCGCCACTAGGGGTCATAGGAGCTTACCGAAACTCCGAAACACGGGTATACCGACCGTGGAATCGGCAAGCTAGGTAAGTGTTATGCGCAAAGCTGAGCCGACCTGAGCAGTATACCCACACCCCTTCTCTCGTGCTTGAGGGTCGGACAGCGTTCGTACCGATTATGTAGCAAAGAACCATGAAATCAGAAGCAGGGCAAGTATGAAAGATCCTACTATATATAATCGGCTAAGCGGTTGTTGTGTGTGTGTCTGTGTGTGTGTATGTGTTTGTCTGTCTGACCGGAAATTCATAGCTCGGGCACCAGTGGTCGTCAGGAGTTGGTTTCAAGATATGATATAGGGGGTGGGACGGGAACATATTTGGTGGGGTAAAGAAAGTGATAACAACTGATAAGGGCTGATAAAAGGCGCTAGAACGCAAGTGTCGCGAAATTCATAGCTCGGGCACCAGTGGTCGTCAGGAGTTGGTTTCAAGATATGATATAGGGGGTGGGACGGGAACATATTTTGGTGGGGGTCAAAAAGTGATAACGACAGATGAGGACTGATAATTACGATATGCGTACGAACGTAGAGATTACTCGAAACCAGATTGCAGATAATGCATTTTTCATTTCAATATCATTTCATTAGCGTTATAATTGTAAATTCAAACACCTTTCAACCGCTACACCTTCTAGAGTTCTTGAGGATGAATGGGATGCTCTAATAAATTTGATAGTGAATACTGGGCATTCCGTCTTGAGATTACCAAAAATTATTCGACCGCTAAATTTCCTCGATTCTCGATGCATGGTGGTTGTTTACATACATCACTTTAGCTGTGCACTTCACTGCGCTTATCAAACAGTGAGATACAGCCAATGCATTTAACGAAGCAGCTATAGTTAAGCGGTGAAACCCAAAGCTTCACCGATGTCGATTTTGTCAAGCTTCCCCGTGTCATTGCGCGGTAGCGGGCGGAGCTAAACTGGTAATTCTATGCTGGAGCAAGGGCTACCTGGAAAAGAAACCGCTTGATAAGCAAGATATGATGAGTAACATAGTAAAGCTGTAACTATAATGAAGATGAGTGCTATGTAGCAGAAATGTCTAGAGCTCGTCCTCGGTGGCACTACCAAGTGCTTGGAAACAAACAGGTGGTAAATAGCAAAAAACACAGAAGTAATGGCAAGATCCGTATAATAGGGCGGCGGAGGCGAAAGGCATTAGAGAGATCCAATGACTTGCGTAGGAAGGCCAACAAATGTCCACAGGTGTTTGAATCCGATGCGCACAACCCGATCCAACAAGCACAACAATCGGTACGAGTCCATAACTCCAGGATGAGCTAATGACCATTAGCCATAACTGGACAATGACTCGAATGCCACAGAAATATCTGAGAAAGTCAAAGTCTGGAAAAGAAGACTGTGAATCTATTAGTTTCTTACTATATGCTATGAATAAGTAGATGTTACCACTGAAAAGAATCGTGGATTTTTAAAACCTCCAAAATGTCGATCTTGCGCACCGGTGCGAGTTTTCACACAAGAGCAAGTTGTGGGGCAGCAATCGGAGCCATCTAGCTGTGCGAAAGAAAAAGGAATTGAAAGTAATAATACTTAATAACCTCTGCACTTCTCAATCTCAGCGAATATATGTCAAGTTAATCAAATAGTTCCAGAAACCAAGCAGCAGGCCCAGTATGTTCAGATGCGTCCTCCAAACAACGCTCATCTATCTTGTTAGAATTTCTATCTGGCCGCATTCTATACATCGAGAACGGCCGCGCTAACGCGTGTCCGCGCGCATTACCATAATTGGAGCGCGATTCTGGTGTTGCAAGGCAACCGGCTGGTTCTTCAGCAAGTCCGCCCTTATACACTTATTCCATTTTACTAAAAACTGAGCTTTCTATAGCCCCTGTTGTTTACTTTACGGACACTTAACACAGTATATCCCTACAACACTCCCTTCCTATTCCTGGTCACTTCACTGATGCAGATATCTTGGTGATGGTCTAAGTTTTGACTCCATCTCCGTGGAGCAAGGTGCTAGATTCTTCTCATTCCTGAACACTTTCGAGTGTAATATGTAGTACCAATCACAGACTGAGGTACTCTGAAGCCCCATTTCCATACCCAGTGCGTAGCATAAACAATTACTAGGATGCCCCATTGTCCTCATCCACTGATCTCGTCGTTATACCTTCACTCCGTGTCATCTACCTAGTAACTGTAAGAATCTGAAAAATTGAGTTGGTAATTTCCTTCCGTCCGATTCCTCATCCCACTGTCATCGTGATAGCTCCATGGTCCAAGGCTATTATGAAGGAAGACGAGAGCTTTCGGCAGCGCACAACAAATTTTGTGATTGGGCAATGCTTGAACGGCTTTGATCGGATCAAAGATTAATCTATCAGCAGCCGGCGGTTTTCAGGTGGGCACGCTAAATTCCGATATTACCTACTCTTCCAAAATAGTGTGCTTACCCACCCCGGAGTTGTCCCTTCTAATAGGACTAAGCCTTAGAAAAAGGAGGAACTCCGGGGTGGGGCAAGCATTCCCGTTCCCCTCCTCCTCCCTCAAAAATCAGCGGTCCTAAAGGACTCACATAGCGCTTGAAAGTTCCTTGCATACTTTTACTCATGCACTTTGTAGGCCAGTATTTTTGCCTTTGAAGGAAGATCAGATGAACCGTAACATGTTAAAGTTACGTGGAATCCGAATGGCTCGAGTCGAAGTGCTGAAGGCGCCAAATGAAGACTGATTTGCTCAGAATATCAAAAAATATTCCTGAGCAACACAGTCTAGTTGAGTACCAACAATCTAAAACGTTGCACGGGGAACCGATGTGGACTTTTGTGAAAGGTCGCAGACATAAAACATGTCCGCAGCTGATGAAAATGTGCCGAAAGGCTTCATTAGCAACCTGCGCACAGTAGCCACCGGATTGCGTCCGGTTGGCAATCGGCCAATTGCGCCGCACGCGACACGCGTCGTCACAGACACCCTCTAGAATTATAGTTAACACTTTCATCTTTCCTACTTGTAGGGGTTCCCTGTTGCTCAGAAGGCACGGCTCATGCTGATCTGAGAGAACTGGAATTCTACTGGGGTTTAAAGAGTACTGGCCCTGTCCACTGAATTCTCTTCAAAAAGCTCTTGCATGCGTTCAATATCTGCGGTCAATAGGTGGGACGTGGTCGGCCTTCGATGTTGTAGTCGCCCCAGCGAAACATCACAAAACAATTTTAGCAGATCCTCTCTTCCAGCGTGTTACCCTTCAGTTTCACAAATTTTCCGATAGGCTTCTATTGATGAGTGTCCCAGTCGGAACTCCCAAACGACGAGGTGAGCTGAAATGAGTGCCACTATTTCTTTATAGACGAATCCTGATGGTGGAAAATGGTAGTATGAAAGCATACTAATGTAGCCACATAGCGTAAACAGTTTCTTGGGAAGGATGGCGCGAGTATGAACAAAATTGCCACTCACTCATGACACAACCTAAGAGAAAACACCGAAAGCCATTTACCCTGCCTGGTGGTTTTATCCAGGTGTTTTTTGAATTAACATCCTTTCTTCTGAAAGGGGTGGTAACTCTGACTTGTACATCGGCTGGCCCCGCAAGTCATTGTATAGGCCACATCGCATTCAAACGCCACTACGAATGTACAAATGGAAGTAGAATGCGTGCCGCATCCCAAAAAGGGATTGATCAACGGCAAATGCTTTATCCTTTTATCTCAAAAATTTCCATCCGCTGGTCTTCTTGAACTCGAAGAATGCAGAATGTTTCTACTCACGTAATCCACTATCTTGAATTACTCTTTCCAGAGTATGAAGCCTTCTGGAGGCGACACTGCCGTTGGCGTTGATGAAAAAGTAGTGGTTGTGATAGTCGACGCAACACTTGCACTTCAGCCAACATGGAATTCAGTACGTTACTGCCGCTTTTTTATTCTCATGTTGTTTTTCAGACTCTCATCGCGTTCATACTGCTAATGCTCCTGAGATTTCCATATGTATGAATGCTAGCTGAGGATGTGTTTCCACCCCTCCTGCGGAAAAAAAATGTTGGAACCGTGATAGTGGATGTCATATTTTATAAAAGATTGGTCTAAGACAAATTGGGGAAAAATTCTTGAAATTCAAGCGCGGACGCGTTAGTTCAGTCTTCCTCTCCAGCCATTACTTAAACTTTAGCCTTTCACTGGGAGGGTCGATGAAACCGCCAACCTATATGCCATTGAGTTGCACAGTCAAAAGACCAAAGCGTCCCCAGTTTTTCGTCAAGCTGATGTGGGAAAATTTGATCCAAAACTAATCGGGAGGTTAGTCAAACAGGGGGACCTTTTCGAGCAATCTTGGAGTAAAGGACAAGTTTCACATCGATAAGGCGAATATCAAAACGTAGGCAAGTGCATGGGCTTGAACACACGACACATGATCAGTTTGATGGGATGACACTCCATAGTGGAGCCAGGAGTAGAAAACGGTCCTCCAGTAATAAATGAACAAAAGCCTTTAAAACAAGTGGTCGGCGAGACGACGCAGATGATTTGATACAAAGGTATGCAGGTGGAACAACGGGGCGGACGGAGTAGGACCTGGCGCGTCATAACGTCGTTTTTACGCATCTTCCAACATGGCAGCGCCTAGTTTCGCATCGTCCACAGACCTGCTCCTTTCAGTTTATTCACCGCTTTCCACGCAATTTTGCTAACCCAGTCTTGGGTTGTGACTTCAGATCCGGCAATGCCGTTGGGGGTGATGATTAATCAGCACTCTTCATCAGTCCTCACTCACCTTGATTCCATCGTATAGAGCATTTCCGAGTCCAGGAATGTGTAATGTCCCACCGTGACCTCGGTCTTCAAAAGAAAGTTATGCAAAAGTGTACTGAAGTTTGGCTACCTCCTTGCTACCGTCAAGATGTTTGTCGAGCTCATAAGAGCCTGTGTCGAAGTGAATTTAGATCGACTCGTGTGAAAATACTGCCTTTTGTTTAGTTTTATTTCTTGTAAGAAAACTTCAATAGAAGATGTTCCTTCTTTCAAACGATCAGGCTGTCCTGCAACATCCATTTTATGATCTTAAGCAGATTGGCCCTCCGTCAACCGCCGGGACCTCTCTTCCCTCCAAAAGCTCTACGTCTTCCGCTGGGCTCCCTTTCCACCTGTGACACCAACACCTCGTAGATGTTACGCTGTGCAACAAAAAGAGTTATATAGTAGAGGGCATCGCCATAATCATATGAACGGTAGATTTTCCGCCTCCCTCCCCATCCTCCCTTCCTCTCTCCACTGCCCTCCAGCTGCCACTGCAGCACCATGTGGAATGACACGGAAGTGTGCTCGGCAGGTGTTTATACAGCCGTAGTGGTCTTATCACAGTTATCCTATTAGGTTGGAAAGGAAAGTTCTGAAACACTCAATTCGCGCTCTTTCTGGATTTCTCCCGAATGCTCTGGAATCTTCCATGGGTGGTATATAGTAGGAGTGGACCGTGCTGCGTACGGTGCTCAAATCAGCTTTCCCAATAATGGCGTTTGCATCGCACTAAATCAACTTTTCCCGCGAGACACTCCGAGCGCTCATCTTGTGCGTACCTCGCCTGGAGACATCAGCTCACGAGAGGTGCTCAGAATCTGTCCAGTGATAGAATGGGGCGTGATCTCTCAAGTGGCGCCTTCATTACGGCTTGAACGCTACGCAGCGGAAACTTTGATCCCTCTGACGCAACGTACGACTACTGTCCATCAAGACAGTCGTCACACTGTCTGGTAGATGCATCTTGAGTGCTTCTCACCGCACGTTCTTTAGGCTCTTCAGGAATTAGACAAGTCTTGGAAATGTGGTCGATGGGTACCGCACGATTTCACCGGGTGGACATCTGCACATGTACTTCTCGTCGCACAGTAGCAACGATAGGCCGCGGCATGTGGCCATTGGCGAAGACAAATGGACCGTCTGCTTTAACCATATGCGAAAGCAGCAGCGGTTTGGAATATGGGAAAGTGGAGTTTCAATGCCTTGACCTGACAACTATGGGGGAATGGTGATGTTGTCAAACTTTTGGAATTTTGACGGTATTTCCCATGGGTGATGTTCTGTCTGCAGGATTGACGATGACAAGGGCTACCCGCTGCTAGCTGCTCGGAACGATTGCAGAAAGCTTCACGGAATACAGCGACAAGTCAATCTGCTTCACGACAACGCGCGTCGGCGCGGGTCTTCGGTCTCATGCCACAAGATTCTCAAGCTATGCTGGACCGCGGTTGCCCGTCTGCCATATTCGTCGAACCTATCCATACACGTCTTCCACCTTTCCTGCTCGCTCGCTCATTACCTGGAGAACAGAACTCGACGACGAGAAGGACTGCAAATCCGACTTTAAAAGATGTCAGCCAATTGCCCGAAGGTTGGCGTAGTATTGCTGAGTCTGATGGTCAATATGTTCCGGGTCTTAGAAAACAAAGAAAAAAAATAAATTTAAAATTTTGGCTGTGGGGTGTTTCAGAACTTTCTTTTCAACCTAATATTACAGAACATTGATAGCTCGAGTCCTACGAGCCCTCCGATTCTAGTAGCAGGTTTAATCCATTAGAACTTCAGCCGTTTAGACGGAGCACACGAAGTTAGCGCGAATAATGTTGTTCCTGCCGTACCTGCGCGACGCACTGACGCGCTGAATCTGCGTGCTTGTCTCCCACTTTTCGCTCTGAGCTCTCTCGAGAAGGCGAGCAAACTCGCCAATAAACAAAGCGTAACGTTAATGTAGGAGGTGGAGGATGGCTTGCATGTCAGACTAGGCTCGCGTGGTACGGGGCAGCACCCGGGGATTACCTCCCTTTGCGGCTCGCCTCGGCGAGGCGAACGCTGCGACGCTTCCCCATTTTTGAATCGCTGCCTGGAGAGCCGGGGTAGGCTCATTGCTTGCAGAACCCACTAGATTGTCACCAGAGATAGCGCGTCGATGCGGCGCGCATTGTACGTGATTGCGGCAGGAACGTCGCAATTTACGCTGATTCCGAGTGTCCACACCGCCTGAACGGCTTGAGCCTTCCATTAGCTGAATTATCACTCACTTCTGTTTGCGGACGGACAGACAGATATACAGACGTACATACATACAGACTGTACGTCTGTATGTCTGTCTGTCCGGTCTGTATACAGCTTGTATGTATGTACGTCTGTATCTGTCTGTCCGTCCACAGAATGAAGTGAATGATAAGGCAGCTTATGGAAGCCGAGTTAGCGGTTTATAGAATAGGAGGATTTTGATAATAAGTCTGCCCCGCCCTTGTTGAGGCCACTGGACAGTTCTCCACTAGGCCAAGTTAATTGCCTTCTATTCGATCAGATTCTATTGAAAGAAAAAACAGCGGTTCGGTGCATTCTGCTTGCAATTTGAAGCAAAGATAGCGACTCAAACCTCAAATCTTCCTAGCGACCTAATATATGACCTTTTATTTGTTTTTTCTTGGGGAACCTTTTATTCTGCAGAAGTGATGCGAAAGCTGCTAGATGAATGCCATTATGGGCTAAGCAACTGGCAACTAGCCCGTACATGTCCACGAAATGGGCTTTCATTTTGAAGACAAGATTTGCACTGGAACTGATTTCCATGAAAGAGAAAGATGGGCAAGCGTGGAGAGCGTATAGGAGAACCTAATTAGACGATCAAATTTCGCGCTATCAACGACACGAAAAGCCACCGATCGGCCTTATATGCCCCCACATTCCCCAGACACAACAATTGCCCGCACGATGAAAGGATTTTTGCATCGGCCGTCGATGCAACAACTGCCTTCGTATCCATGATGCTGGTGTTTATCTGATCTTGTTCAACTTCGATACGAGGTATCGCAGGCCATATGCTTCGGCGGAACGCAAAGATCCCGAGAACGGCGCTTCGGGAATTTTGTCGCGGGCGATATGTCGGACCCATTGCTTGAGTGGATATGGGTGATGCATATGGAGGATATTAGCACACAAGCAGCTCGATTCAGTTTAGTTCGAGCGCGTGTACCTCTAGTGGGAAGCCTGTTTGGTGTGCGGGGTTACCGGGTAGCGTTTTGACACGGCGTGATCAGCGTTATTCGTGGTAATTGCGAAGTAGATTTTCACCGCTCAGCGAAGAGTTGTAAATCTGGTTACGCTTCGCTTGCTTCGACCTTTTTTGGACATACCAGTCACAGAATAGAAACGCAAAAATATTGCATTCCTGTGTTGCCTCGTTTTAGAACGAGTTACAGTAGTTCTATAGAGCTGTACAGTGACAAAGCCAATCGTAGTGAGATTCTGAACTCGATTCTTCGAATTCGAAGGCGGTTCTCGTCGAAATCACATCACCAACACGGCATTTGGGTTTAATTTCGCCATTCATATTCATGGGATGAACAGTGCTCTCAAGGCTCGACGTATACCAAGCTCGAGTTTCACATTGGGTCTGGTATGAGTTGATGACGTTCATTTGTTGATCATTGGTGTGGAAAGCTTCCCACGCTCACCTAAAATAAACTCGTAGAAATGAAAGAACGAAGATATTACAATTTCAAGAAAATTTTTGTTTCTGAAGGAAGACACGATTTTCAGCAAGTCGACTTCCTGATGAAGACTCTCAGTTTTGCGAAGGGTAGGAGAATCGGACTGGTGTCGCTCAATTGTAATTCGGAACTGCTTCTTCGATTGGAACGCCATAGTGAAGAGGAGATCAAGTGACATTTTGCTCCAACTTGCTTTTATGGCGCGTTCATAGTTGACAGCTTCGGAGATCGGGAGAATAGGCGACAATGGAAGTGACATGTATTGACAGGGAGGGAGAATCAGAAGATTACGACAGTACATAGTAGACTGGGATACTTTACTGAAAATAGCGATTTAGTACTTTAGTATCGATTGGTCTAGATGTAGTTGCTTAATTTTCTGTTCTCTTATTAATACCTACCCAGCTGAATATTCCAGTGTGCTTAGATTCTGTCGACTTCTCGCATAATTTCCCTAATCGCGGGAACTCACTCTTTGCAAGCCGTCATCAAGTATCTCTGTTTCCAAATTTATATATAGGGTGTTCCATAAATACTGCAACACATTTTGAGCTTCTATTGTGTGGGTGTCTGTAGTCCTTTTCCCAAGGTTGGCATACCTTCACTTCCTATGACCTCTTGTGAATAACCTTGCCGAAGTGCACGGCTTACCATTCGTTGTACATCTCATGGTGCACCTAAACCTCAAAAGAGGTCCTAATCCCTCATACAGCTACATAGGTCGGAGATCCGGTGATTAAAGGCAAAGGTCGGGATTAGTTGACCAAACCAACCCTTTCGGTCATGCCTGTACTTGGTTACGCACCCGTAGAGATGTTCCCACACTCAAAACCCGAAACGGCGCAGTAATAAGGCCCCAGGGCATGTACTATGCGCTATCGCCGCCTGGCCCCGCTACGACCGCCCACCTTGGGATGTGGTGCGCTGGCATAACGTGTGAAATCAGCTAGGTTGATTGCCGTATCAACCGATAGAACGACTGACATCTTCAGAAAACTTGTTTGTACGTGCCTCTTCCCCAAGCCAGCCTCCTTCACTGCTAGTGGGAAAGAGGGTTTTGTTAACGGCCTTGTCGACGGTTTTTCTCAGTTTTTTCTCCACTGTCGTTCCACTTCGCATCTCTATACTCAGTTTCAATCGCCATAATACCCCCTTATTGAGCCCGACTTTTGCCTTTAATCGTCGTTTTTTCTGCATCTTTCAAAGTCATCGTCCTGACGGCCTGCACGCCTACCAGCAAAAGAGAAGACCAAGGGAAGCAGTCTTAGGTTCTGACATCTTGGATCTCAGGAAAAGCATGAAGAAGCGAAACGACTGCAATACCCGGGTGGGCTCGAGAAAGGTGACCAGAACGCTGGAGTTTCCAAACACAGCCATGTAGAGAGTGGTCAGATAACAACTGCTCACAGTCCATTATAAGTTGCATAAGCACCACTGCTCAATCCAACGGGAGGAGCACAGCAGAGACAAAAAGTTCAAAGAGCTGGTGTCGAGGGCCGAAAATGGCGATTACGCGGGCACCGTTTTCATCGACGACAAAATTCCTCACATGGAGCAGAGCTACAATCTTCAAACTCCGAGGATGCCCGCATGAGGTCTGTGGAAGCCAGTGAGAGTGAAAGGAATATTCGCCACAAGCAGCAGCCAATCTTTATCACGATTTGGGCAAGGGTCTCAATCACAGGTCTCTCACCACAACTGTCTGTTGAAAAGCGAATGAAACTCGATACAGACCTAGCTAACGAATGCTCCAGTGCACCATTCGTTACTAAGGTATCTAGCTTCTCCAAGGAGGAATGACATTCTTTTCAAAAGTAACCAGCTTCTGCATAAGGGGCAAAATTTGTTTAGGACTGATCTCATGATGCTGTTCCCGATTTCACATCCTCAAACAAATGGCTCTCATATCTCTCGATTTCAACCTGCTGGACCATCCTATTTGGGCTATATTAGGGGACAGGGCCTGCACTAAATAATGCATCCAAATAGAGGAGCTGAAGCCTTTTCTCTAGAAAGTTTCGAAGAAGGAACTCCAGTATGCCTGCGGGAAACACCAGAGTTGCGTTTGGAGCAACTGGAAGCCATACTCACAGCGTCAGGGAGACTTATCGAATAAATGTCATTCCTTTCAACATCTTAAGGACGGACTAAGAATAGTGTGTGACCACTTGAAAATACGTCTACTTTGAGAGAAGTTACAAGATAAGAAGTATTCATGGGACACCCTGCATATACAGGGGGGGGGGCAAAAAAAAGAGTCACTTCCTCCACATTCAAAACGCAATTAATCTCGAACTGCGAAACCAAATCAAATGAGCCCAATTGCATATTAAAGAGCACATTCAATCTATCAAAAGGTTACATGACAGCCTTCTACACTGACGACATCAGAAGATTTTCCCACGGAAACATGGTTCACGGTACGAGCTCAACGAGGTCGTCGAGGTACCATAGACCATTACGACGTCCCTGAAACGCTGGTCAAAAGCGGTCTTGCACAGTCACAGCTAGTGTCTCTGGGAAGCTATTCACCAGTTAATCGATTGAAGAAATTATGTAGCAGCTTCAGGCCGGAGCGATTACGGTAAGCCTCGTTGAGCTCGACGGTGACGGCAGATGACGTCATATTCTGAAGACGGTGAGGGCAGTGAAGGAGGGCCTGCTTCTGCTTATGGGGGGACACCTAAGGAATATTCTGCCGTAAAACTTCATCAACAGCGGCATCCTGTGCGACGAAAAATTTGATGATGTGCGCCATGGGCAAAGTGACTCTTTTTTTTTGCCCCCCCCCCCCTGTATATGTTGTATCTGGCAAGAGAAACAAAGTACACGATCACAATACCATCACGTATTTATCATTACAGAAATCGTGACCGTGATTTCAGGAAGAAAATTCTTGGACGAAGTCCTAAGTTCGGCCATTTGAAGTCAATAAGCGAAGCTTTCAACCTAGCTGAATATGTCATACATGTAAGGAAATTCCTGTCAGATAAGGGTTAAAAATGCTTCACGAAATTACGGGAGAGTGCACTTGGGCTTTAAAAAACGATGGAAAAGCGCTCATGAGAGATTTCAAAGGAACCTGTGCACAAGTCCCGAAGGTATTCTGTCAGCGGAAAAGTAAATATTCACAAAGGAGTCTTTGCGAAACCCATTGACTCTCTGAAACCCCGTATCACCTAACTGCAATTTCTAACTGCCTTCTCATCAATAAAAAAACAGTAAATCAGAGTCGGCAAAATCACAACAAGTTTTCGTGAGTTTGTCACGCCGGGTAAAAATGGATTTGGAGGGGCCAATCCATTTCACTCGGTGGCTCTAATGGAAAGGCACAAAATTTGGGCGTTGACAAGGCAGGAGTTCTCATAACATCTTTACTCAAAGAAGTTTTTTGACAAAAACCCTCTTATCCAGTCTGGAATGGCGCCGAGACGAGATCCTGAGCCGGAAGCTGAATCCAGGAGGAGAAGGTAGTGTGTGGAACGAGTAGAGTGAGCTCCACAGCAAGTGGACCAATGAAATATGGAAAAAAATGGTTCAGATGTGAATGATCCAAGGCACTTACTGGTTCTTATCGGAAACTTGCTTGATGAGGCCTTTTTCAACGTTGTTATGCTTGCCGCTAGAGATAGTCACAGCCTTATCTTGGACCCTATTGTTAGGCCACAGAGCAGTACTGAATCCACCACCCCCACCCCTCTACTCCATTTTCACATTCATTTATACCACAACGATTCTTAGAGGAACATTTCCGTTGGGCTTGACCCAGTCTTCTTCCTCAATGGCCCACTTCAGGAGTATATCAGTATATAATTTTATCTACTCACTTGCTGACTACAATATGGCTGATATTAAGCGGTGCTGTTTCGCTCATGCGATGATGTACTAGCCCTTTAAAGGAAGTGGTCACGATAATTTTCATGGGAACGATAAGGAAAGCTATGTATTGGAGTGGATAGAGGTCCTGCCCAATGTTAGAACACGTGAAGTTTCAGTGGCAGTGGCGCCTTATCAACGGAGTGATAAGGCGCCGAAATCCACTTCCGTTCAGCAAAAACCAAGACTTATCGATGTGGAAAGGGGTGCGATAAGAGCGTGCTAGATATGATACCGTTATCGTTATCGTCCCGTTTTCATTCTGGAGTGCACCTCTTATCAAGCAGCCGCACCTTCTTATCTCATCGTATCATATCTTCCATGGGCTTACACTCGTCCAACAATTACTGCCTCACACCTTATCGATTGATAACGCGAGGGTAGCAAATCCAGCGTGGAAGCCAGAGTCAACCCTGCGTTGCGCAGTTTTCAACGGCCACGTTGCGCAGTTTCGCCCGATTAGACACGTTCTCTCGCGCGAACATTCACACTCGCATGCTCGAGCCGTCTGTGTCTCCGCCCATACAGCGTG